GGCTGGGATATATAATGTTCCGTGATTTCTGAGACCAAGGCCACATCTTCCTGAGACGTATCCTTTGTTTCTGATTGAACTATTCCCGGAAGATCTACCACGGTGAGCTGCGGACGCTGTGGGCCTTCGATGGCCATGCTGAGAGTGTCTTTTGCAAAGGCACGGCGCGGACGGCTTGCATCGGCAGTAGCGTCAATTCCCATAAGAGTTGTGACTTTTGCCATTAGATATGGGAGCTCATCAAAATTGGTGATAACCTCGCTAAAAGCCCTGATATTTTCTTGTTCTGAGGCCGGCCTCTCGGGATCTGGTATCACCTTGATCTGCAGGGAATTTGTTGGGGCTCGACGAAGAATGATTTCAGTTGCAAACCTTGTGCAGAGATTGTCATTTCTTGGAAATGGGATTTCGGTGAGTGCCTCGAGGACAGAGCTCTTCCCCGCAGACTGATCGCCGCAGACCACTAGTTGGGGGAGCGAAAGCACGCTCTCAAGGCCGCACTTGCGGAGCTGGGTGACGATATCGAGAGCTTGTCTCTGCTCATCGCTCTCTAGTGCCGCAAGTGAATCAGTGGTATGAAGCATGTCTTGCAGCGCGTTCTCTGCAATCAGAATTAGTCAGAGACCGCTCAGTTATACACAATCTAAATTTTATGATTCACCAGATTTTGTTTCAATAGAGCCCATCGTATTCCCTTGAAACGCCTTTTCGTTGCGAGTGACTTTGTTTCAGGTGTGAACTGACTAGATTTAGAAGGCTTTCCAACGCTGTGCCATCAGCATGAATAGTGGATGGCTCGAAAAGGACATCCAAGCTATCTATACTCTCACTCTAACACTTAGCGCAGAAATACTGGCAATTCTTCGTACCACGCGTTTTCTGAAAAGTTGGTAGAGACAGTGTCAATTTAGTATCACAGTCAGCACATCCTTTATCTCATTCTGTTGCCATTGCCGATTGCTTCCAGCCTCAGTGCTGAACTTCTATCGTCGAAATCGGGAAGATCGACTCATATTATTAGATATATCACAGCAGGTCCTAGATATCATTTCCTGACGCAACAAAAGTTTCGTCATCCCGTCCGATCATCAGTGAGCCGAAGCCTTTTGGAACCAGTAGCTTTTGAGGACTGTAAAAAAAACAGTGACAAAAAAAGAATTTGTGTCAGAGTTACAATATCCAAAGGAACAAAACCTTAATTATGCGCAATAAGCCGTGGATTTGTTACCTTTCGAATTCTAGTTTGAACGGGAGATCGCTTATTACAGCAGCCGCACTTGGTTCAGTGATGATGTCGAGGACATTGACATCTGTATCACAAAATGCCAGAGGATCAAAAGAAAAATTTCAGCGCCCGAGTAACGGTTCAAGAGGTACAGTTTGACCTTCAGGCTGTGGCGCTTGACAAGGCTTTTCGTGCTTTACACCTCGACGCGGATCCCACCGCGCCGACTGAGCTCCCCGATCACATGCAGGCACAGTTTGACAACGACCCGAAAATCCAGGAGTTGGCGCCTGAGACTCGTGGCGAGGAGTGATTGGGCCCCAACAGCTGGGAACAAATTATACCCCTATCTTCTTGCACACATTCTGATCATACAGTCCAAGTTTGCTGCGAGCCAGCTGCGACAACGAAATTTTGGTGGTTTTGGAATGGCTTTTGTTCAATGTATAGTCCTAGTTCTGTCATAAAAATAAAGATATCGCAAAAACATAGTTAATTATTAAGGGCCTATGACTCGGCTATTGAACATGACCACTGGAGCTGGCGTAGCATGCCAAATTGATAACGTTTTGATACTATTGAGACTTTTGAGGTATCTTCCTAATGTCCTCTGCTAGCTAAGAAAGTCCCCTCTTTCATCACTTGCCATCCGAAAAAAATAATCAGCCGCAATCTGTTGGCCCAAGGAACCAGAGGCTGGTCTTATTGAGTGAAGGTAGAAATCTAGTGCTTAGTATAAATCAACTATATACTAAACGCGTGTTTCTTTGCTTCTTCTTCCTCCTTAGTAGAAATAATCTGAAACATCAGAAAGTGTCTTTAGTCTTCCATCCAAGGAGCACTTACCCCCATACTCAATGCTGCAGTTGGTACCATTGGCATCTCTATGAAAACATTTATTGTCATGTCGGTGGTCAGCTAGATCCTGATGGTTGAGACACCAATCAAAATGACTAGCAAAGAAGCAGCTCGCCGTGATCATATCCTGACAGTGTGGACTGCTCAAAGTCAAAAGGCCGAAGGGTAGGGTGAAAGTTGGAGTGCTCACTCACCATTTGCGGTTTTTCAGCTTTTCAATCTGGAACGAAAGCTCGGATTTTAGCTCCTGCACATCTGCCATTTGGTGTCCTTGCTGGCTTAAGGCGGCATCGCAAAACAAATCAGGTCCTACTGCCATGACGAAAAGCAACGATTAAAATCTTTCTTCGGAAAGTAATTTCTGCAGAAGCGAAAAAACGTTTGAGGGAGAAACTGCGCGGCCATAAATACATGGACAGAAAAGAAAACAGCAAAGACCTGTATGATGCCGCGACTCCATATAGTCCAGTTCAGCCAAGCCGGCAACGCATGCAAGTGATGCTCAGTTCTTTGTTGAGCAAGTCACATAGAACAAAGGTTAGTTATCGAAACCTGATGTCTTAAATAGCAGCCAACCAAATTAACATGACCTCTGGATGTTCACCTGGTCCGCGAATGTTGGCATTATTTTGAGTGGGGGTAACATTGCGGTGGAAAAGCCGATCGAGGTCGTGGGATAAGGGGTCAGATGCGCCATAGCTGTAACTACGTCCAATGAAATCAGATCCCAGGAAAGCGGTACAACCGGACTACCTAGAGCTAGTCGAGGCATTTGACTGTGCTAGGCGAACCCAATTTTTGGCACTGGTTTCCACGCCGGCCCAGCCCGGCTGCTTACTTGTAAGCTTACGAAGTGCTGTAGCTGGAAAAGGGAAAATGGAAGCAACGTAAATCGAGAATAGAAACCTGCAGTTGCGAATATTTTCGGGTGATGGAACTCGACATTTCACTGCTCGTAGAAAGCTTGTGGGCATAAAGTTACGCGATCTTTGATCGCTTTAATTGAGCCTAACTAAACAATTTCTGCGCGAATGCCTCAAAGAAGTTTGTCATGCGGAGAGCAATATGCACTTGTCCGCCCAACCGAGCGAGCTCAACGTCACAGAAGGACTCTTGAGAAGACCCACATTAGCTAACTAATGTTTTTGGGTTGGCCACTTCAGCAGCTTGGCGGCGGGAAGACTACCTTTAAATGCGTGGTGGCCAGGCGAGCATATTGACATTCGAACTGCGAAGCACGACCTGGGATCCCTGCAGATCATTGGTGAAATGAAACTATGGAGCAACTTCCCCCTCATGTAGTCCGTCTACGTGCATCCACACATCATAAACTGTCTGGCTTTTTGGAAGTTGAGTCAGCATTTGCAGGAAGCCTGTCTCAATAGTTGTCTCACCGTCTGCAAGTCCACTTGCTCTTTTTCTTGGATTGCTTCTCGCTCAGCCATAGAATAATTTATGCAGTCATCCGTCTGGTTCAAGAGGATCTTGCCACATTACACCTTCCATAACACTTCATCTCATACCACATCATGTAATTTCCTATCGCCTGCGGCTTATGGGAGCAGAAACAAAACAGCGACAACAGGCGCTTCGAGTCCCTGAAGTGTCGCGTAAGGCTCTTGATTGCTCAGAAAGGCGAAGTTAAGTATGTGTCTTAGCAAAATTTACTATCTTGGCACTCTCGATTTGTTGCCTCACCATGTTAGGGCTTATCAATCAAAAAGTCAACAGTTCTGTATAAATAGCTATTCTCATGATCTCTTTGTTTCCATACTCTCTTCTCACCAGGAACCTTCTTGTCGCATGGCCAAATTCACATACCAGTGT